TTCGACATATTCAACGCTATTACAAACTATACTGTTGTATGAAACTTGTATTGTTGTGAGTTGAAAATCTTTGTCAGATGTCAGAACAAGGAAATGGCGTCAATGACGCGGCTGACGGCAACTACATTGACAGCTATAGCCATCTTTTGGTAAATTCCGGTTTCATATTTACATACCTGGTAAATTAAGCAGCCTGTTAAATAGCCCCATTTGTCATCTGAGGGCAGCCATCCCAATTTGTCGTAGAAACAAGAAACGTGATTGTCTTTATGCAAGTTCAAGATAAAACGCACGCATGCGTTCATCGTTCGCCTGATCTTAAATTTCTGTTGATCGGTCAAGTCCGTAAACACCGCCGAGCAATATTAAAAAAATGGGAAGATCAGAGAAGACACCAGCCGAACGTGCAGTGGGATCGAGAGATTGTGCTTACGGTACTTTAAGCTCCACAAGACGTTCACCTTGTGGGAAAAGTACTTGACGTGCTCAGATCAGTTGAGAGTGCTCGTAAGAGTGACGCCAAGGTTAATGACCTGATTTGAGATTTCGATAGGAGTGTCATTCAGAGATAGTGGGGTGATCCCGATTGATCACGGCTCGATTGGACACCACCAATCACAGCGACCGGTGCTTAGGAGCTTTGTGGTCTCAAGCGCTGTGAGTGGCTCGTATCCAATTGAGCCGTGTCCAACTGGGTGCCACCCGAGATAGTTCGATGTTGCTGTCCGTCTGAATATTATTTATGAACCGAGCACTCCCAAGCAGAATGGCTTTCATCTTACTAATGTTCAAGGTAAGAAAGTTATCCTATGCCACTGCGCCACAGCCGAGATGTCCTCCCCGATTAAGGTTAGGGCCGCACCCAGCTCCGCAGGAGGAAAATGCAGATATATTTGCAGGTCATTGACATAGAGGATGTGGTTATAGTGTTGGAGAGCGCATCTCAGGTCTATAAATATTGCAAATAATAAGGGGCCGAGCACTGAACTCTGCAATACTTTTGTAGAGATGAGCGCCCGGTCTGAGAGGCCGCCAGGTCCCCTAACGCATTGAGAGCGATCTGTCAGATAGGATCTGAACCATTCGAGGACAGGATCGGACAGCCGAAAGCAGGAAAGTTTGCGCAGCAGCAGACTGTGATTGAGTGCATCGAACGCCTTGGAAAAGTCAAATAGAATAAGCAGTTACCATTTTACGATCAATGGCTAGTCGTATATCATCAGTGAACTTGATTAAAACGGTCTATGTACTATTGCTTCGCCGAAAACCTGTTTGGAGAGGGTTGATGAAGATATAGGTGGGAGGTGAGTTGATCACAGACTATTCGCTCAAGAACTTTAGAAAGAAAACATAGAAGAGAAATGGAACGAAAGTCCGAAGGAGATGAGAGATTCTTGACTTTAGGAATAGGGACAACATAGGATATTTTCCAGATGGAGGGAAGGGATGAGGAGGTAAGGGAGTGATTAAAAAGTTCAAGGATGACAGGAAAAGTGATAGGAAAACTGTCAAGGATTAGACGACGATTAATGTCATCTGGTCCTGATGAATTTGACGCACAGCCCCTAAGCACAAGGCTGAGGGTTTAAGGAGTTATGTATTGGAAATAGAACGTTGTAGGGTCAGAAAGAAGAGTGGGGGGAAGAGGGGCGGAACGGGGAGAGGCGAAAGGAGAAGAGTTAAGTGGTGACAGGGGGAATAAGGAGAGGAGGAAAGGGGAAGGAAGGAAGGGAGAGAGGAAGGAAGGAAGGAAGGAAGGGCGGGAGGGAGGGAGGAAGGGAGGGAGGGAGAGAGAGAGAGAGAATACTATTTATTAATGTTTTGGCCACCAAGAGCCGTGGACAAATCATGATAACATCCTGTCGTTACAAATTTCCGAACAGGATGTATACAAGTTATTGCTACATACTTAACTACTCTCAGCGGAGATGGTATACTATACATATACAGCAAATAAAAATAAAATATCTTAAAAATATCGCATGTTGACGCAGTTTGTGTGATACAATAATTATCTATAATCTAAAGAAAAATGTGTTACAAAAACCGACTCTTTATACTATACTAAAAGCTACTCTTATAAGTATAAATTAATCGCTATGGTCGGCGCTAAATAGAGACGCGAAAAGATTTGTGCGAAAAGAAGCAAGGGAGGCAAGACCACGTAGACGAGGCGACAATGAGCTCCAGAATTTGATGGCTGTAATCCAGAATGAGCGAGCGTAGAGGTTTGTGCGAGAGGTAGGAAGCATGAATTGGGAGGAGTTTAGACGAGATGACCGGCGAAGTGAATCATAAATTAAAATAAATCTAGATGAAAGGTATGACGGCTGGGAAGTAGTGATTATTTGATACGCGAGATTACCCAGGAAGTACTGTCTTCTCGATGTAATGGAAAGCCAGTTTGCTCTCTTTCTATATGGCTTTAATCTTTCGTCACGTCGCAAATGGTAGATATATCTGAGTGTTATATTCTGCAAGCGTTGAAGCTTAGTGTTTAGGTAGCCAGAAAGATCTGCGATGACAAGAGTAGCGTAGTCAAGATGAGGAATGACTAGGGCATTTACAAGGGAGAGCTTGATGGAGGGAGGTAAAAATGAGCCGCGAAATTTTAATCGATAGAGGACATAATGAACTTTTGATGAGATGGTATTAACGTGGCGATTCCAGGAGAGATCAGATGAGATTGTTACTCCAAGATCTTTCACTTCGTTTGAATACGGTATGATATCAGTGCCAACTATAATTGGTGCAAGTAGCTGTCTATTCATAGATGCTAAATTTTGGGTAGACCCGAGGATAATTGCTTGGATTTTACGAGTATTTAGCTTAAGGCCATACTCATGTGACCACTTAATCAGTCCGACTATGTCACTATTGATTCGGTGTATAGTATCATTAA